GCACCGGCTGCTTCCCCCCCTGTGAAGCCTTGGCCGCTCCTGGCAGCCCCTGCGCTGGAGAGGAGAGGGTTTGGAGTGCAGAGAGCGTGCGTCTGCTGAGCTGGAGCTGCCCACTGAAGACAGTTTTGCAATAAAGCCTGGGTATCCTGCAGGTGCCTGTCTGTCTGTTTGTCCGCCTGCTCCCTCCTTTGGCTGCCGGCACCGCCTAGGGCTCTGTTGGCTGCCGATGCTGATGTGTGGGGCTGTGCGGGGACATGCTGCGGCGTGGCTGGGAGGGAACATGGTTGTCACAGGGTACCACGTGGGCGCCTGCTCCACCGCAGCCCGGCCAAGCCCCGAGGAGCCCTCAGCCCTGCCAGCCCTGCCCAATGCAACCAAATGCCCATCTCCAGCCAAACATTTCCAAGCTCATCTGCAGCTGAGCGAGAGCCGGGGAGGAGTGTCCTTCCACAACTGTCTTCCCCACTACAGCAACTTCCCACCCTCAGCCTGAGAGCGAAGCTCACATCGCACCCAGCTGCACCATGGGCTCCTTTTCTCATTAGTCCTATTATTTCCCAGGTTCTGCAGCTCCAAAAAGCGGGCACCTGCACTCTGCTGAAACCCTGCAGAAACCCTGCTCTTTATGTGCGGCACCAGCAGCTGCATCAGGGACAGCAGCGTGGCCACCTCCACCCTTCCCGGGGCTACGCCACATCCTGCATTTCATGGCACAGCCAGCTTCACCGGTGTCCCCCCAGAAAGCTTTGGAGGAGAGTTGTTTCTCTTCAGCGTTGTTTGAGGTACCAAAATGTCCGAGGTGCCAGGAGCAGGCACGAATCAGGAACTCGCAGCCCGCTCCAGCCCCATGTGGCAAAACCTCTGCTGCAGACACAGCAGTTTGGCTGCCCAGGAAGGAGTGGGCTGGGGAGCCCGGCCACGGGCACCGTACCTCGCCCTCCCTGCCTGCTCCTGCCGGCTAGGTGCTGGGAGCCCACCGGGAGCGCAGGGGCCGGGGCTGTGCTTCCACCCGCTGGGGTCCCAACTCCTCGGTTATTGTCTGCTCCTGGTGGGTTTGAAGGGCCTCATCTTCCTGGACCTGGCCGGTGCCACCTCCTGGGTGAACACACGGGAGCGGGAAAGCTCCAGGAGGGGGGCACCAGGGGAGCAGGTGAGACCTCCCATCCCCGGAGTGCCCCGTGCGAGGACAGCCCCTGGCACTGCCAGGCAGGGACAGCCCTGCCCCAGAAATACCGTGTGTGGAGCGAATGGAGGTGGCAGCTCCGAGGCAGAGCCACAGGGAACGGCAGGG